ATTATTATTATTATTATTATTATTATTATTATTATTATTAATGTGTGTATCGAGTTTAATTTTTTAAATTCACTAGGAAGTTTATTATGTAGTGTAATGCCTTCTATAACAGTACTTTTTCAAAGAGTGGTTTCACTATGTGAAACATGCAGATTTCGTTTTTGTCTAGTATCATAGTTATGAATTTCTGTGTTGAGAGTAACAGAATCCTTGTTTCCCATAAGTGTTTTCTTTGTGAAGATTAATATTTCAAATATGTACATGCATGGGAGTGGTAGTTGTAATTTTTTGAACAGTGGTTTGCAGGATTCATTCTCCTCCCCTCTTGTTTCACGGCGAGAACGCCAGTGCACAAATTCAATTACTTAGAGATTAGTAAAAAAATGATAGATATAGTCAAAATAAAGTATTGCAGGGCAAGTACAGTAAACTAAACAATGAAGTAAATAGGAGCATTTGTCCACATGCACGAATATGTAAAAGTAGAAAAGTAGTACTAATAGTAAATGAAACCTTTAATCGTAATTCATTATGACTCGGTTGACTCATTTTGTATGACTCATTTTGACAGCAATATTGAGAAAACCAGCGTGTAAGAAAATAAATGTTTGAATGGTGGTATTCAATATAATTAACCAAACGCAACCGTCAGTATATTTCAATGATTATGAAAGCTGTTTAAACGTAGTGACCCCTGAAAGATCACTTACTCAATGGAGAGGGGGCACTTATCCAATCAGATGCTTTGATACGATAAGTTTTGGTATTGAAGCTTCTGATTGGCTAATAATGTCTCCCTCTCCTTCTAGCTGTTGACGTTTTAGTGTCACTGTGTTTATATTGGTGTAGAATTTCTTAGAATGTGAATAAATATTATTCGTCATATTAGCGTGGTGTCAATGGCATCAGTGATCAGCAACGTGCGCCCTCAGTTTCTGAAACTATCGTCAGTTGTGTCATGGCTTAATAGCTTTAACTAGTAAGTGAAAAAGTCTGAAAGTTTGAGATTTATATGTAGTAAATGCGTCATTAATGAAGTTGCAGTATTGATTGACATGTTCTTTGTTTCTCAGCTGCTCAGTACTGTCGCATTATCTGGCACGTTATCAGTGATTCTGCTGTCATACCTGTTCTTTCCTTGTGGCGAATTGCTCGAATGCCATATCTAATCGAGAAATTACCTTGTGGTAGGGAGTATTAGTGTGTCTGCAGAAAGTTTAGTTCAGTTCCAAATAGTAGGTTGATTAAAATAATGTGTTTATGAAATTATTTGGGCTCTGTCATTGAACAACTTTTAATTATTTGCCAATATTTTGTAGGCAATGGCTGACCAGAGTGATACTACTGCTGTTAGAGGTGCTACTGATGATGTTGATGCACGGGAAACCCGAGTTGTGTAAGTTGTAAAATAAAAGTTTTGGTATTTTGATTCATAAATCATTCACAACTAGTTTATCACTTTTACATGATGGGTGGAAAAGAGCCCTGAGTATATCCAAGAAATGTGAGAACAGTGGGTAACATCAAACAAATGGTGATTTGGTGTTGTTAAATTGTTTGTATGAAAATTCAGTGAATATATAAAATTATACTTTGTTTATATGATCATTTGCCTAATTCATGACAATTTTGTTTACCCTCTAAATGTGGATTACCTTATATGATACAATATTAATTTTTCATATTATGTTTCTAGCAATGGAAGTGCAGTGGTTGCAAACATGGCTTCTGAAATGGATGCTATGTATTATAATATGTGCCATTCAAAAAGGGGATTAGCCATAATATTGAATCATGAAAACTTTGGAATCCAGAAACTAAAATCTAGATCTGGTACAAACGTAGATCGTGACAACCTTAAAGAAAGCTTAGAACATTTAGGATTTGATGTGAAAGTGTATAATGACTTGCCCTACAAAAATATAATGAAGGTTGTTGAAGAAGGTGAGGTTTTATTTTGTTAATGTATTTAAACTTTTCATTTGCTCAATTTTATTAACAGATGTTGCTTAGTGTAAAACAGTAGTGTAGAGGGTTGAAGTTGAGAATACGGTACTTAAGGAAGTGCAGCATTATGGGAATTTTAAATAGATCAAATAGATAAGACAAAAAAGTTAGATGAATGTAGGTGTATTTCTAAATTTACAAAATTAGTGCACTCCAGAAACTAATTTTAAATTTTAACTAATTTAAAACTAATCTTAAATTTTTGTAATTTTTATACTTTGTTCTATAAGAGTATTGAAAAATAAGGAAAATTTGATATCGTGTTGAAATAGAATGTTATTAAGTTGTTTCAAATTTCGTTCGTAAAGTTGTTTGTAAGGTCAGGATCAAAAAAAATATGTTGTGTCAAAAGATCATTAGCACATTAAATTGTATTAAAAATATTTGCTTGTAGCTTGTAGTTCGAAAAAGAGAATCATTACGAGTCAATCTTTGAGGGAGGACATAAAATATGTATGAAATTATTTTGCAAGAACTCCAAAAATTAAAATATCCTTTACAAACATATAGGGTCTCAAGTTCCTTTAAATTAATCGAGGGATATCAGTTTTGGTGCTAGCGTTGTTCGTAGACAGATGGGCTCACGATCAACTTTTCAGTATCAATGACCCCAAAAATGCATTCTGACCCCACAAGTGCTAGAGGAAGTAATTTACATTATATAGGAACAAGATTCACTTTTTCGTTATCAGAACCCTCCAATAAGAGTTTGTTGTTGTTTTTCATCGAAAATTTGCTGTGTTCTGGCCCATGAGTGCAATACTTTCCCTTCTTGCGAAGCAAGGGAGAGAAGGTAAAATTTTATATAAACTTTTATGTATAAATATTCAGTAATAAGAACAATAGAAAAATGTAAAAAATATTTAATGTACTCTTCAACAGTTATACTCCCAATCTCAATTGGGCCTTCCATCCTTAGGGCTGTGCAATAGGTTGATCACCTGTCTCATTGTGGCCCTATGACACTGATCTAGAAAACCCCTGACAAGCATTGGAGGCAGTCTTAACCTGAAGAGAAATCTTTTGTAAAAATAAAAACTAAGGGCTAAAATAAATTTAGCATTGAGCAATTTAGTATTTTATGGTATTGATAAATATATAAGTATAAATATATATTACTCTTTCTTTAGTATTCAGTGGTAGTGTGTGTTTTGTCACATCAAGCAACAAATTACGTAACTGTATTTCTCCAATCTTTTTTAAGCGGTTGAAACAGATCATTCAGAACATGATGCTTTTGTAATGGCTGTGTTGTCTCATGGAGAACAAGGCATTTTATATGCAACTGATACACCTTACAAACCAGAATATCTTTGGACTAGTTTTACTGCTGATAAATGCCCTTCGCTAGCTGGGAAGCCTAAAGTATTTTTCATTCAGGTAAGATATTAGACAAAAGTTACTAACATTAAAATTCTTAGTCCCCTAACTTATTGATAAAATACCAAGTTTAGTGGGAAGGAAAAGCTAATCCTTTTAAAGAACACACATTTGCAATTCTCCCAAAAGAATTGTTTTATTTATTTTCCATTGAAAAATAATATTGATTTTAAAATATCTTCAAATTGTTTTGTGTAATGGGATAAATTACACTTTGAAAAATTCTTTATAGTAAATGACCTGATCCATATCTACTTGTGACAGGCATGCCAAGGTGATCAACTAGATGGAGGTATTACTTTAGCTAAGAGAACAGAAGTTGACGGCAATTCAGTTAGCTACAAGATTCCTACACATGCGGATTTTCTCATCGCATATTCTACAGTTCCTGGTATGTTTTTATTTATTTGTTCACAATTATAGTTGGCTGTGAAAAATTGAATTTTCATCAACATATATTCCAAGAAATTTGACATTCATTTTGTTTTATAGTTTGAGTATTTATTTCAATTTAAGTGTAGTTATTAATTTTTTTTTATATTGCAAGATTAAGAATGAAGATAAAAAATGCCAAATGCAGTGGTTTTTGTATCAAGTGGAGGTAAATCTTTATTGTAGCCCGTGTATGTGGTCTCAGTTGCTTAGAATATTAATTAGAAGATAATTATTATTCTTCCTATGATTTAAAATATGATTTTATCTCTTGGTAGTACAATGATAATTTAATATTTCAAAAATGGGGCAAAAATGTAATAAATATGGAAGTGGTGATATACTGTAATCCTACTTCACTAAGCATGTAAATCATTTCAAGACTTTCAAAAACCGATCTGGGGCATCTTTAAGCCCTGCAAACTTGAAACAATATTTTGATTTTGAGGGTTACTTCATATGAAGCTTTCTGACATTTTCAAAACTTTTTCAACATGTATTATTCAAATAGATCTAAATGGAAAGATAAATAGGGTAAAAGTTCAGTATCTTACAAAAAGGCCTGAATTTTCAAAAATTTTAATTGTACATGCTTATGACAAATCACTAATTTTCATAGGCTGCTTTTGTATTTTATGAAGTTGATACACTGACAAAGAATGAGACAAATTTGGATTCTAATAATGATTCGTAAGCTTCTCAGCATGATTTTTTACTTTTTCTTCCAGGTTACTTTTCCTGGAGAAATACTACGTATGGATCATGGTTTATGCAAGCCCTGTGTTTTGAATTGAAGCGCCGTGGGAGAGAAATGGATATGCTTTCTCTATTGACTTTTGTTTCTCAACGAGTGGCAATTGATTTTGAATCAAATTGCCCCCAAAATCCCACAATGCATAACCAGAAGCAAATTCCTTGTGTAACATCAATGCTTACAAGACTGTTAAAATTCTCTAGGAAATGAAAGTGAAAATTTTCTTTAAACAAAGATGGAATGTTCATTAAGAAATAAATAATTTTATAGAATCAATTATTTTCACAACTATAATCCCTTTCAGTATTAGCAGTAGGCTAAAATCAAAAGTCTAGAATTTGAAATGTCTTTCCTGCACTTATTTTGTGTAACTGGTATGTTTGTTTTTTTGAGGATTAACCTTGCCTCATTTCATTACCAAATTACTATGAATCAGGGTGCAAAACCCAAAGTCATCGAGCATCTACAAGAATTAAATACAATAACTATAAGGTCAGTCAATTAAGTATTTAAAATTATATAGAGTTATGTAAAATATTGTGATGCACACTTGTAAAGTATATACTTATAGGTACTACAAAATAATTTGTATAAAATAAGAATTCAAGGAATTGAAAATAATTTTGATACAAAAAATAAATTTAAAAGTAAATTTACTTTTACATATATTTGTGTATTTTGCATTCATTCTCCCAATGGAAAATAAAATTAATTTAAGAAAACATTGTACTGATGAAATTTAATTTTTATTATTATTTCTTAACCTTAGTTTTATAAAAGGTTTTCAAAAAACTTTATTCATTTACACAATACCAAATCAGCAATTTCCCATTTTCTTTACTGCATTATTTGTACTTCGTAAGTAAATTGAATTTCCGTGCCTATGTATATACGCACGAGCGCGCACACACACACACACAGATATACAAATTCCACAGATGTATTTCCTTCTAATAATTTATTATTTTCTGCGTCATACCATCTCTAATACTGCTTCACAATATTCAAGAAACCATTGTTAAAAATATTAGGTAGATCAGTAGAGTTCATAATAAAACTCCCTTATATTCTCTGAAAGGTACTGGACTAATCCAACCCTCCAATGAAGCATCCTAAACCCTCCGTCCTAATTCCTTCAAAATTCAGGCCATTTGGTAGTGATGCCGGACCACATGGAAAAAGATGTGGAGATGCTACCTGGCTTTTGACAGTAGTCAATATAAGAAATGTTGTCAATGGATTACTCCTTAGTAAAAGTGCTCAATGCGTTTCTAGGGTCTTGGAGACATGTAGTGTCAAAGTAGATGTGTATATCTGTGCTCTTAATGAATAATTACATATTTTTGACAGCTAGAGAAACAAAAGGTATCTAATATAGTTAAATACGTTTTTATGACCAAACGCTGCATATATTAACTATTTTTGGGCATATTTCAACATTTTGTGGCATATTGCAGCTCTAGTTACGACATTCTCATCCACAAGACAATTTGCAAGTTTATTTTCCCTAAATAATAATTAGGTAAAAATACAGGCATTTTTAATGTCAATCCTTTTAATACTTTTTGCATTCCTAATTGCACAATATTCAAACATTCTGACTGCTCTAGAAAGCAAGAAATGACGATTTTCTGCTATATTTTGCCTGTGGACCATCCCTTTTAATGATCCAATAAGAATTGGTGGCGTAGTATGATTTGATTAACCTTAATATATTTTTTCAATAACTAAAATCTGACAAAAGGATTCCCTGTGGTCATCAGTTAACAAAGACCACTAATATTCCATTCATACACAGCTATTGAGGCTTTTCCAATATAAATTTAGTTTTCATATGTTTCTTTCATACGAGCAGAAGTGCCACAGGTACTGACAGGAATTTATTGCCATTATGCAGAAGTAACTTAACTGAAGAGGAATCAATGAACAAGCGCCATTCTGTTGGGAATATTAATTTCCAAGTGTCTCATTACAAAACAGCAGGGAGCGGGGGACCTTGTTTGGTTTCCCATTTTACATCCAAAATCAAGTTCATAATACTTTTTCATTAAAGGAGTAAGGTTTTGCCTTTGGACTGATATAACTAAAATTGTTTGGATTATTTAAACAAAATCTCGGCATTTCAACTAATGACAAACTAGTGTCTAATTAAAATAAATATGTAAATATAAATTACACAATAATTCAGTCATACCTAACAATCACAATGATGTGTTCACTTGTTCACATCTGACGTAGTTCTAATGAATGGTGCTACTCTAGATGTATGAATGTCTACATATGTCTGAACCCGCACAACAGGAACACTCCCATTTGAGTCATTAGGTTCCATCTTATTTACAAGCTTGAGGGTACTTTTCTTGACAATGGACAAATAGACCAAAAATAATTTTAAAAATTAAAATAACAAAAACCTTTGGGTGATGGAGAAATTCCGAATACATTATCAAAAATCAGATAGAAAATAGGTACACCTTTGGTACAAAATTGGTACTCATGAGACAAAAATCGTGTTGATCAATGTTATGGGGAAGAGTTATAGATGTGAATAAATGGTATCTGAAGTTGAAGTGCATGGAGATATGACAATGCCACAAACCCAGAATGCCTTAGGCAATATAAAAATCAAATTCACACTAATTGATCGCTGTCTTTAAAGACTGTGTTACCTCAGGTGGTTAACCAATGTTATTATTCAATCAAATAACAGTCATCAAAATAATAAAGGTGTTTTTCATGTGGTGACAACAAGCAGTAATATCAATGTGTGCTGTATTGAATTTGTTCAATTTTCTGCTGCTTATTATTACTCTCTCTCACTTCTTTGAACCTTCCCATGTAGCCTCATTAACAGGCTTTTTTCTTCATCCCAATTACAGGTTGCTGCCTGTACCAAGTTACATCATGTATTTAACTACATTTATTATTCAATAAAATTTTTGCTTTCAAAATAAAGACAGGTGTAAAACATATTGCTCTAAAGCAATTTACTTAAGCAATAAGATCAATGTGTCCTTTATTGAATTTTACATGTGTACAGTAATAAATTGGTCCAATTTCTTTCACTTTATTGTTAATAATTGATGCTCATTATTATAGACTTTTTCTTCTCTTTACTTTTTCATGGATATGTATAAATAGAGGATTTTTCCGTCTTCTATATCCCAATAATCAAAAGGACAGAAAAAAAAGTCACACATACTTTCATATAAGATACATTTAATTCCAACATAACTTTGAATAAATAACAACAAAAGATGTTAAGGAAAATAAACGCTATACAAGTTTTCCTCCTTGACACATCTGTATGATATTTATCTCACAAGAAATTTATCTACTAAAAATAGCTTCCCAGAATGAAAACCATAATATTTATTTTATTTGCACTTGCACTCACTTTCCGAAGCCACCTCTGCATGGTGGACTTTCTGTTACCTCTTGGTTGCTGCTTTCCCATTCACTAGGAGACTTGGTCTAAAAACAGTCAACATATAGTTTCTATCAATACAAGATTGATGTATCATAATGAAACAAATGTTTTTATGTGTCGAGAAATGTTTGCTGAATGAAGCAAAACCAATATGAGCTTACCCTATGAGTGAGCTAGTCAAACAGAAGAACATAGTATATAAAAGGTACTTAAGGAATATTATAAAAAGGATAATGTGGATAAAAGGATAAAAATAATGTGTTGCATTACAGCAATCAACACAAGTTTTAAAACATACTTTGTTTTGAAAGATGAATATTTAATTTTATTTCATTGAATTTTTTGTGAATTGACAGAAAATAACTGAAATATTTTTTTGTGAAAATAACAAACATTTTTTTCATTCACTTAATTCTATAATTACTAGTGCTGAACTTATGTGAAATGTAGATGACTAAATAAAATATATGCAGCTGAAGAATTCAACAAGGAAAATTTTGGGGTGTGGGAGACATAAGGACAACATGAAAGACTCAATTAAAACTTGCCATAAGTTTATTAATTAATGTCAAAAACAGAAATATTGTGGGATGTTATGGTGAGAAGTGTATTCTGTGCAGGTTTTCTGCCCTAACCCATATACAAGTTGAATTCAGAATACAGATGAAATTAGCATATTTGGCAAGAATTGATATGAAAAATTCATTCCAGTGTAATAAAAACTATTTCTAAGTTGATTTTACCTCTACAATCTTCAAGATTGGTCAGAAAACATATATACTTTCACATACACAACTCTTTTATTTTCGATTGCCACCTTTAGCCAACCCTTGAACAAGTACCCTGCATTGCCCAAGACAGGCCCATTGCCAGGAAAAGGTATGAATTCTATCTAATGTCTAACCCTCCCATCATCTACCATGACCTGGTTTACCTTCCCTGTTTTACCAGTTGCACCCTGCCACATTAGATCTGCTTATCATTGCTCCCACCATTGCAGGCAAATGTAAAACGTGAATGTACCTATATGTCCATCACACAGACGCAAAATGGGCATTGTTATGATTTATGAGTTTTTGATACCAACACCTCAAATACTAAGCATGTCTTCGGTGCATCTTCAGTCCCTGTGATTGTGAAATATTGGCTGGAATTATTACTTGAACATTTTCTCGCACAAGTAAATCAAATTTCTCCAAGACAGTGTCATAGCAAGTTCATGCCCAAACTAGGACATGGAACAAACCATACTTGTGAGAAAGTCTTTCATCTTTTAAAATTTTTGCAGAGCATAGCGTAAAACGTGATTAACACTCACATGACCAGTAAGCATGTGATGTGTAAAGCATTGCCAGGTGTGTAATACTAGTGAGTAATAAATTTGACATTATCATCTTCTATATTAATGACAAAACAAGGAATAGCTGGAGCAAAAGAATTGTGGCAATTACTAAAAAGAAGATATAAAGGTATAGATAAATTGACAAAAATTGAAGTGACACAGAGAATCTATTTTAAAAATTTAACTTGCATTCATATATTAGTAAATGATTTTAAACAACTGGTAATTGATCTAAGGGAGTGAAATCATAGGTGAAACAAGATGTCACGGAGTCGCATCAAATTTATTGCCAAGAGAGAGAAAAGCAAGAAAAAGGTGGTGGTGAATATTACTTTACATATTCACTTTGGTCGATTTACTCGTCCATTTGCCTGGTTGACTGACTTATCGATCGATTATTTTGGGTTTCTGTGCATGTTAAATGCTATGGTCCCACAAATGCACATTATATTCCAGAAGGTGGCAGTCGTCTTTCCCCACTAGAACTAGTGAACTGGCTCCTACACGACATCTTGCAGTTTTTCTCCCTCCATCAGAGGGGCACCCCCCCAGCCGGAATAAGCTCCTGACATGTGTTAGTAGTGCAGTGCTTGTAAGTGTGCACATGTGTCAGGAGAGAGACAAGGATGAAGAAGAGAATATTCTGCTTGTCCGTAGCTTAAGATACCTCTAGCACTCATATGGTATTTTTCAGGCCACTAGAATTCTTCTAGACTGTGACTGAATTCAACCTAGCCATCTGTCTTCTGTTGGGAGAAAAAAAAGGCAAAAGGCATTTAAAAACCACCAACATCAGGTCAAACACTGGGACCTCCTAGAAGAGTGACCACACTTTGCCAAGTGCCATCTCATCCTGTTTTGAAGTGACAATACGGAATACTGGTATACATTTGGGGAAGAGATTATAGAATGTATCAGACAACTGTGTAAATGCAGTGAATGAATAGTTTGTGTAATTGGTTTAACAAAAATAACCTGTACAAATTTGGCATGGTCACAAATTTACCCCTCAAAGTTGTGATGTTTGCAATACAGTCAATATCTTCGACATAAAAGTTATTATGAAGTAATTAATACTATATATAGATTTAAAACAAATGTTAAAGAAAAATTAGAATATTAGAGACTTCTCTTTCAGTTTATGAGCATTATGTAAGGAAAGATGGAAGAAAAATCATGCCAGTTAAAGTAGGGTACACGGTACACCCTGAGACAAGCATGGCATGGGGCGGGGGGAGGTGGTCTCCTTAAACCCTCCGTTAAATTACATTATGCACTCTGATAGAAATGAATAAAACTTATGGATAGGCGATTTGCCCCCACCAATTGTAATGCCAATTTACTTTCAACGGCAAGTTTTCTCACTTCTTTCGCCCGGATTCAAGTCATGACGAGGCTCAGGCCTTCAGCCCTCGCGTTCACTGTAAACATCCCCGAGTCTATCTACCACATAATTACCGCCGGAGCGGTGCAAAGTGACTGTTTAAAAAGACTTCCATAAGTTGTACCATATACTAAGACTTCAGCTAATTCTTCAAATAACAAAAGCACTTACAACAATGGACAAAGCATGCACACCTTGTTGCAGCTCTTCCTTCAAAGTTTCATTCACTAATCTGTGCCTCTGTAAAAAGAAAAAGAAAGGGATAAGAGAGCAAATACAATCTAAAAAATTCAATTTCTTTAGCAACCTTATTTACCTTAATTAGAGGTACCTTATCAAAATCATCTGAAACAACTATAACTTTAAAATGAGTTTCAGAATTTGGAGGAACATTGTGCATGTGGGACTCATTCAAGACATCCAAGTGAATTGGTTTAAATGTTTCTTTCAATTTACTGTAAATTGATCTTTCAACAGGTTTCATTGTGCTCTACATGAATTTGAAACATGAAAAGTATAATAATTTATAAATTTGCATTAATGGTTCTGTTATCTTTTATACGTAAAACTTATTCAAGTAAAATAATCCTCTTATGAAACAAATTAACGTACATAAACGCGCATTACGTTTGCGAAAGTAAGGGCTTTCAACATAACAGCGATGTCCTACTCCTTGGTCATCTATAAAGAACCCAAGCTGGTGATGAGAAATTCCTATTCAAAGCTTTCTCTATTTCACTCGGTTATATGGTACAACAAATTGTTTCACCTTAGGAACATGTCAAATTCTCCGTTCTTACGCGCTCTCCGAATGTCAAATTTTCATACAGAACTTGCACTTGTTATTGCTGATACCAACTTATTTGATATTCGAAGCATGGTAATAGATAACTTTAACTATGTTGTTAATATGTGGAGTAATAATACCAATATCGGCTGGAATAATTATCTTGGGCCATAGTTATATCAAGATTTGTGTAAAACAAATGAACAAACGATTGGCTGAGAACAAATGAAATCGCTGTAGAAACTTCCAAAACCAGAAAGAATGAATGTCCAACACTGCAACCAGAGAGTATTATAAACTTTTAGTGATTAATTAATAATTCATCTATGCTGCAGTAGTCGCAGAGCACCCAAGGAGCATCCTTTGCTTGTCTTTGGCATAGTAGAAATAATTTCTTCTTAGTAACTTAATTAATTCCTTATTATTAATAATTACATTATTTCCACCATGGTCTATGGCAGCAGTATATCATTGAGCAAAAGTCAGGTGCGATAAGAGATATTATTTTTTAATAGACCGCTGGATACTTCTATTAAAACGTTACGCCATTGACACTTCGTCATCTGTGACTGTCATCCAATCGAAAGCTTGAGCGTCACTGTACGTTCGTCACGTGGTCCACGGGAAGCTCGTAGGCCACGATTCGTCAGTTGTGACGTTTAAGCTTCCGATTGGATGATAACTTTACAGCTGACGAAGTGTCAACGGACTAGATATTTTAATCAAAGTGAAGATCCTGCGCCTGAACGTGTGTCCTGGTGGTGGTTCTAGTTATGCTCAAGGAGGTTATAATATATTCGACTTTCTTTATTTGGTCCTTCATATAATGTATTAATGTGAATGTGCGAAACACTAAAACATATAGCAGTGTTTGCCCAAGTGTAAGTGAGGCACAGGTGAACCAAATAGGAACGTCAGACGAAGAATCGTGGAACTCAGAAGTTGGAGATCAGTTTTCTGCATTGAAATGTGAAAATCAAGAATCAATGTACAAAATCAAGAACGGTTTGTGAATTTTTGTCATGATGAATCGAGTGTAGGACGTGGACGACAGCTGTCATTTCAGCACGTAATTTCGAATTGAGTTCTTAAATTTTCAACATGTCAGAAGACAACATCAAGAATGAGCCGAAAGTTTTACCTCAGAGGCTTATGTCATTCCGAGGTTCACGGGATCTCTCCTTGGGTTCTGGCAAAAATTGTGTTGGACTGCCCAATAGAGATAAATCTCGAAAAAATTTTACCCCAAATTTGAATGTTCAGAGAAAAAAGAATCAAGAAGTTAATGTTAAAAGTGAGTTTTCAAAAGCCCATCAAAATAAAGGCCCCAGAGGAGGCCGAGGAAGAGGACAAGGGAGAGGGAGACACTCAGCTACACTTGTGCAAGCATCTGGTAGTGTTTTTGCTGAAGGTATTGCTGTATCAGGATCTGTTTCTAGAAGAGCAAAATATGATACAGATAAAGTTAAAGATGAAGTTTTACAAATACCAAAATTAAATCTAAAATTAAACTGCAAGGTAGATAAAGAGGAAGAAGAGAGAAAATTAAAAGAATTGCTTAGAGATGATTTTGTTGATGACAGTGACCTTGCACCAGACACTGCATTTGCACCAATATCAATACCATTGAATAATTACATTAAGGCTGAACAGGAAAGTAATTTTAAGCTAGAATTCAAACCAAAAGTAAAAGAAGAGAAGGAAATGATAATTGATGGTGTTAAAATCAAACAAGAAATAGTGGAGAAAGATGAAGATGAAGTTGAAACAAGTCTGAAAATAGACCCTACTTGTATCAAAAAGGAACCACAAAATTCACAGAAGTACGAGAACATGTTTCTTAACATTACATCAACAAGCACTGAAAAACGGTTAATTTTAATTCAGTTTCCAGACAGATTGCCTGCACTTTCTGTGGATTCTTCTGAGGACATAGAAAGACCGAATTCTTCGAATGTGAAACCAAAACCTGGACAACCAGTTGCTAATTCAGAGGGAGTTAGTGAAAAAAATAAGTACTGTCGCTTGAGTGATTTGGCACCAGGACACATTGGTCATTTGCAAATACGAAGATCAGGCAAAATTGAACTTGTTATGGGAAAGTGTGTTTTAAATGTTTCTTCTGGAACTAATGTGAGTTTTCAGCAAGATCTAATAGCTGTTCAATTGCATTCAGGTAACCAATGTACTGGAGAAACTGTTGATCTGGGACCAGTAGTACCTCGTCTTATTTGTACACCAGACTGGAATACACTTTTGAAGAGTGGTGGAAATTTGTAATGTTTATCATATTCACATCAATTGTTAGATATATCAGTCATTGCAGTATTTTTTGTTTTGTTTAACTTACATTTGTGATACAATCCACAAAGTAATTTTATTGTGCTTGGTTTAAATAAATTTCATTGCTATTTAGAATAAAATATTTGTTACAGAAAAATATTTTTTTATTATCAAGGTAATAAATTTGTGGGAGGGAGGGGACCTGGAGAATTAACCTTACTGGTATTTGATGTCCCCTACTGGAAAAGTATTAATTCTTCCCTGCCATGGACAAAATTAATTCCTAGATGCCTTGTAAATGATTTCCTCACTGTGAAATGTTCAAGTCAAGGAAATTGAAAAAGAAAACTTCATTGTAATAGAGAATGTTCATGGGCCTACTGTCAAAATAATAGTACATCTCATAAGTCAAAATTCATCACGTCTCCAGTTAGTATGAAAATGGTTTCTTTGTTTTGCCTCAGTTGACTTTTTATTTTTGTACACCCTCTGAAGAAAAGAGTCAATTTGCACCCCAGCCCTATATTGATTATGAACTGTCAATAAATTATTTGATAATTTTATTTTTTGTGAACCCAATTTTTTCTTTTTAAATTGTTATTTTCATTTTTCTTTCCTGGATGACAATTTTTTCTTGCTTTTAAATAAATAGGGTTTTATACATTTTTTAACTTTTTTAATGTTCCTGACATGTGAGGAACCTAAAAATGTCATGAGCAAAAATCTCAAATTAAATTTAGTAAATGATATTTGTCAATCATATGATTAAATGTAAAGTTAAACACGAGATCAGTTGAGACACAAAAGGTTGTATAGATATTGCAACTTTTTACTTCTGTTTTACATCAAGTGCTTTAGCTTAGGATTTTTGTGCAGTTCTTTTCGAGTCACTGGTGCTTACTCTTGTACCCTCAGACTCCAAGTATCTTTATGTATAAGTAAACTATAGGTTGAATTAGATGAGTAGAATGTGAATATAATCCACAAACTCTATCCCCTTTTCCTGAGCAAAATTGGGAAAGTCATAAAGAGGTATGAGAATTATACCCATCTAAAAATACAACTACTGGCATCTCAATTTTGTTCTGGAGTAGCTAGGTGTACAATACATTTGCTATGTATTCATAAAATAACTTGTGGTTCATGCAGAAGTTCAAGCAAGATGAATGTCAATGAATTACCTCTGGTGGTGTTAATTTTCCATAACCAAGGAAGTCACATTTTCTTTATCATTTCCTGCATCCTAATAAATGTCTTTAGAGCCTTTTTCTGTGGGAACTTTCCCTCCGTTAGGATGTAAGGAGAAAGTGGTTTCATAAGAGTTAAATACTTTTTAAGGAACTTGAAGGTTGACTGAAGATCCTTTTCTTTAAAATAATTTTTAACTTCAAGTCACTTTCTTGTTTCTTCTTTTGTAAATTGTCTTACAGCTGTGAAATTTGACACATCTGGATGATTAAATTCTGATGTTTCTTTAAAAAAACGTGATAATATTTTTTGCTGGGAAATGACTTCACATACAGCATTGGTTGGCAACTTACTCAGTGAATATAAAAAAGTAGCTTTAGAAACCGGAAAGTCTACCTTCTCCAATAGCAATATCCAATTGACAAGCATCTCTTTATCCTCAGGAAGAAAGGCAGAAGGTGTTCCAATGCTTTTGCCTGTTGGGATTAATGCTTTATGGTTGGTCATCAGTAAGCCGTGAATTTATTGACAAAAAAAACTGTCAAAATAGGCATTTAAAAATGTAAAAGAGGCATTTAAATTGACACTATACATTTTTTATCCTTGTTTAGCAAGTTTCTGAAGGTAACATAATATAGTTACATTTATGGAACGTTTACTTTCATCATGATTTTGACAAATCCTCGTAGAATTTTCTATCATTGTCAGGGAAATTAAGACAAGGCGGAATCACAGTAGTTTTTCATTATATGAGAGTTGATACTTAAATGCTGCACATATGATCTGTATTCTCACCTTTAATTTAAACATAATTGCAAACATTGGATGATTTTTTTTCAATCACCATGCATAACACAAATATAACTAATGGGGTTACAAACAAAAAACAGCACAAACTTTCTCGTATTATTTATTTTAAAAAAATAAAATATCAACAAATCCAATTTCAAAAAATTGAAGACTATTCAACGAAAACGAGACCTGTACTGCCCTTTTAAGTGTCCCTTGTTTTATTCATAGGAAAAACTGAAGAAAATTGTAGCGGTTTTTGAGAATTATTTTTGTAATTTAGATTATGGGAATTTCTGGTTATAGGAGTAGAAGCCAAGACTATACTCAACGGACCATAATTGAAATCCGCCCTCCCCCTCAGGGAAGTTAATAGACAGTTGAGATTATTAGAAGGAATGTGTCATTATATTTCAATAATTAAATTCCACGAGAAAAATTTCTTACCCAACGAAACAGTCGCAGATTTCGCCAAAGATTCCCCGACAGCAGGTACAACAGAAAAAACTTATCGTTCGCTGATTGCTGTCTCAGGACGTCATCTTTCACAGTAGTTTCGTTCACAACCATTCCGAAGATACTGATAGAAATTTAAAAATAAATTTGCTTCTTAGCCAGGTAATAATCACTTCAAATTCTCTAAAAGCCATTATGTTTTGGCGTTAGACGGGTTTCCGGCTTATAGAGGTAATGCTCAAGTATAAAATCGTTCCTTTCTGAGATTTTTCTCCGCGATGTAAGGTTTTGTCTTGGACAAATTTTACTGCTTTCAGACTTTGCCGAAAGAAGATTTGCTATCATTTGCTGATGTGTGTCGTAGTAAAGTGACCAAATCACGGACTAAGGTTTTACAAAAATCTGTATTAAATCTAAATCTTATTTTGAATTACCTTGAAACAAACACTGTATTGTAAGACAGAAAGGTATTTGCACAGTATTCCAAATCAATATAGCCTGATAACTAATTGTCCATAGATTAAAAAAAAAACATCTGGGCATTCATATGTATGGCAATTTGAAATGGGGACATACATAAAACTAGTGCTACAGAATGACAAACTTCCCCGTATTAGTTTTTTACTTCCTTTGGTCTTGGTAGCTACACGAACTTGCCACATACTCTTGCCAACTGCCATCTCAAACTACATTTTTTAAAATTTTTCGTTTTCTTAATAGAACGAAAATATTATTTTAAGAGAATTAAAAAAACAGTAAAAAGTCGCCCTAAATGGCATTTTCTTTTTAAAAAAATTTGGAGCCGTTTTTAAGAAAATAGCGTTTAAGCGCTACCGTGAATGCGAAATCTGAACCTCTTTTCCCAGAGTTTTTTTGAGTTTTCGAAAATCTTCATTTAAAGTATTTTAACTCACAAATTGCTGCAAATGTGTATATTAAGGGCTTGAAATATCTTTCAAGAAACTACATGTGTACAAATAATAAATAAACTTTACGTCATATTAAAGAGTGCAATAATTACTATCCGTTCGAAAAGTTTGAAGGAAAAAACTGGAGCCATTTTTGAGAATATGACGTTTGAGCGATTCTGAAAATGCGGAATATTGACCTAGTTTTCACAAAAAATTGTTGAGTTTTCGGTCTGACATTATTTAAAGCACATGCACTCATAAACATAATAATGTGAAGATAGTGCCGCTAATGTAAATATTAACGACGGGAGAAAAGTAAAAAAAATACATTTTTATATTTTTTGAAAAAATGAGGAATAGAGCAATATGGCATTTGCCATCTTATAAAGTATATTTAGCATAATAATAATAATAATAATCAGGGAAAACTCCAGGTAACAAGATGTTATAGATGTCTAGACTTTGGACATATTTCAACGGACTGCAGAGGTCCTGATCGTAGCAAAGTATGTTACAGATGTGGTAGAACCGGACATGTTGTTAAGAACTGTACCAACTGAGAGTTTGTGTCTTATGTAAAGACAAAAACAAAGAGCTGTTAGGAAGTAGAAAATGTGCCTCCTTTATAGCGGCGGTTCAAAGAGGAAAAAATATCAAGTATGCTTCGACTACAACAGATTAACCTGGGGAGGAGTAAGCAGGCGCGGGACTTAATGTTGTAGGTTGCTGCAGAGAGGGAAATGGATGTGTTACTAGCGAGCAACCTTACTGTGAAAATACGTTGTATCGAGATACCACTGGAAGAGTGGGTATAATAATCCATAATAGGAAGATAAGTATTAATAAATATAAGAAGAAGTATGGGTTGAGGTGAATAATATGAGAATTTATAGCTGTTATTTTTCTCCATACGATACATTAGAGAAATTTCAAAAACACATCTACGAATTGGAGGCAAGTTTGAAAACAACGAAAGGAGAGGTTTTGATAGCAGGTGATTTCAATGGTAAATCGTCGGAATGGGGGGAGACGCGCTCTGACAGAAGAGGAGCTATTATATGTGAGTTTGTAGCAAGAAACGATCTTATCATCCTAAACTCTGGGAACGAGAACACTTTCCATTGGGGAAATACTTCATCTATACTAGATTTGACAATAAGTACTTCCAGACTGACTAATCACAGCATCACAGACTGGATGGTGTGGGATGAAGAAACCTTGAATGACCACCGATACATGGGGTATACCGTAGAATCAGCGGGAATTCAATATGGTAAGGCGAGATACAAAAGAGGGCCGTCTTGGAATACCTATCTTAATGAGGACAAGGCAAAACGCCTTTTGGAAGAATCCAAGTTACTTGCAAGCATGGGTTGGACAAATAATGCGGAAACATTCGAAGCTGTGGTAAAGACAACGGAAGAAATAGTGACACCAGTGTGCGACACGTCTATGCCTAGAAGCAGTGGCCCCAGGAATAAACAACAAATGTACAGGTGGACCTCGGAAATAGCAGAAGCACGTAAGAGCTGCATCAAGGCTAGAAGAATGGCGACAAGAGCCAAGACCGACCTATGCCTTAGAGAGCAATATAAAGCGTAACGTAAGCGAATTAAAAAATAAATTAAAAAGAGCAAAAGTAGAAGTTGGAAG